TGAGCACATTTTCTAGCAACTGTGGACTGGAAGTGTAAAGTCTCCCAGTTCCTAGGACTAGTGGATCTGAGAACCCTGAGTAGTTATTTAACTAACTGTTCTTCCTGGTCATGCATCTCTCATCTTACTGCCTGTTGTGATGATGGCTGATAAAGCACTAAATCTGTCTTTAAAGTAGTCTCACACAGCTAATCCTGGCAACACATCCAGTGAATGTACAGTAGTCTGACAAAGGTCATGCAGTCGCTGTAAAAGGAATGATGATAATATTGTGAGTGAGGGAAGCTGAGTTCTCTTGCACTTTTCCGTGATTTCACACATGGAAATGCAGTCTCATTGTGGTTTTGTTGTAGTGGTTAGCATTGTGGGAATTACTTGGCACTTACATTTCTCTGTGACTGCAGGATGCGTGCCAAACTGCTAAGAAACTACCAGGCAGGGGGAAGTTGCGATGCTTAATTAAATATAAAGCTTTTTTGTTTCCTGACCTTGTGGCTGTTGACACATGCCAATAGTCTTGCTTCCGGGCCAACTTAAGAATAAATTTAACAATTGCTATCTGGTAAAATATTGATTTAAGCATTTGTACAGACTGTTTTCCTTTAGGCATGAGTTGGGGACAACTGTCAAGCTCTGAGCTTGTGGGCAGTCCCAGATACGTTCAGCTGCAAAATGGAAAAGGGATTGAAATTATTATTTTTTTTCCACTAACTTTACTTTTTCTCCCCCAGATAACTATTATCTTTAAATCCTACCAAGACTGTACAGATCAGAAAGTATACCAAGCAGTGACTGATGATTTGCCTGCAGCTTTTGTTGATGGCACAACAAGTGGAGGTGATGGGAACACCAAGAGCTTGCGAATTGTGGAGAAACTCAGTGGCAAATATGTCGAAATGCACGCCAAGTATATTGGGACCACAGTGTATATACGCCAGCTTGGGCACTACTTAACATTGGCCATTCGCATGCCTCAAGAGTTGGTGATGGCCTACGAGGAGAGCCAGGATCTGCAGCTGTGTGTGAACGGTTGCCCTTCAACTGAACGTATTGATGATAGTAGCCATTTACCATTGTCTGTGATGGGGCAGTTGCTCCCTCAGGGTGGTGCTGCTCATCCGAGGTCAGTGTACACACTGGAAACTGCCATCACCAAATGCCATGAGAAGATGCTGGTGAAGGACATCTATTTTTACTCATGTGTATTTGACCTACTCACCACTGGTGATGCTAACTTCACGGCTGCGGCTCACAGTGCCTTGCAGGATGTGCAGGCTCTGCACCCCAGAAAAGAACACTGGCATATCTTTCCCAGCAGTGGACATGGTGGCGTGGGCAAGGGTAGCAAATTCTTTGTCCATCTTGGACTTGTGTGCTTGATCCTTCTTGCTTTTTTGTAGGGTTTTTTTTT